TTGTTGCGTTAGTATCTTGTGCAGTCTTAGAATATTTTCTTTGATAGGATTGTTACGTTATTATCCTGCAAACTTCTAGATTTCTCTTTGATTGGATTGTTACGTGTTAGTATCTCGTGCACCTTCAGAATTCTTTTTGAATGGATTGTTACGCTAGTTTCTTGCGCACTTTTAGAATTCTCTTTGATTAGATTGTTACGTTAGCATCTAGTGCACTTTTAGAATTCTTTTTGACTGGATTGTTACATCAGCAACTAGGTCACTTTTAGAATTCTCTTTGATTGGTTTGTTGCATTAGTTATACTTTGCTTTTTGAATTTTCTTTCCTTGGATTGTGACGTTAGTATCTGGAGCACCATTAGAATTCCCTTTGATTTGATTGTGACGTCAGCATCTTGGCTACTGCGCTTTCTTGTACAGATTTCAAATATGTTTGTAATTGTTCATGAAACTCGTAAGCAAAATACGTAAAAGAATTAAACAAGAAAATAAAAAAACATGATAACTTTTCTGATTTGGTGAACTATCAAATTTTCTGATTTTGTTTGATTTACATTTGCGATTCCAACGTTCAACGAGTGGAAAAATTAATTAATTCAGTTTCAATCGGAAAGATTTTAAAATTGCGACGAGCAAACAAGAAAGTAATTTTCTTGTGTTGGTGTCTAAGATAATCATGATCTGTTATAACAAAGAATGTTCGTCAATAGGCCTATTGGTCTCGTTTTGCAAAAAGGGCAAAGTGCACGCGACAATCTCGAAAGGTAATCTGGGTATCCGGTAATCAAAGAATTTTAATACGTGAAACAAATAGATATTGACAAATAGACTTATCAACAGGGGATAAATACCGACATGCACGTGAAGACGAGAGTAACCGAAAAAGATATCACGTTCTGAACATTTTTCTTTTGCTCACTTTGAATTTCGCTCTCGTTGAGTTTACATTATTTCGTCGTTCATTATGGTCAATTCGCTCTTGTTTTCGCTCTTCATCAAGTCTAGAATTAGGTTTTAAGGTATAATTGAGGTACATTTAGTTGCTATTGGTTGATACAACGTACATTTTCTAAGTTAAAAAAAATATATATTCTTCAACTTTTTTTGCAGATGAGTTGCAAGTTGGAAAATAGAGTGTCCTAAAGTCGCAAGTGCAACATGTAGCATTTGGAGCCAATTTTCAGGTACAGTAACAAAATATACCAAAGATACGTGTATTAATGATACAAGTGACCCTAAATGACCACAGAGAAGCTCAATTCTTAAGTTTTGTTAGAGAAGCCCTTTTACTCGAGAATTTAGAGCCTCTTGACTTGTCTGAACTTCAGTTTCTTTCTATTTCTCTTTATTTCGCAGGTATCTCTGACGCCTTCGAGAAAGAGGTGATTAAAAAATATTAGCCTTGAAGGCTAAGATGTAAGACTTGGTTCCCTAAAAGAAAAAAGAGAAGAGTGTGAAAACTGTTTTGGAAACTGGACTGTCTTGCTGCGCTGTACGGATCTTGAACTGTGTACAACAGATGGGTGACTAATAGCTGACCTGCAATGGGGTCAGCTTCACCCAAAAAGTCTCTTCCTAAGCCTTGATCTGTGATGCTAAGACCTGGTCCACCAAAAAACAAAGAGAAGAGAGAGAAAGTTGTTTTGAAAACTGGACTGTCTTATTGCGCTGAACAGATCTTGAATTGTGTATAAGAGATGGGTGACTGACAGCTGACCTGCAATGGAGTCGGTTTCACCTGTAAAGTCTCTTCCTTATTCTTGATCTGAGACGCTGAGACCTGGTCCACCGAAAAAAAAAAGAAAAGAGTGTGAAAACTGTTTCGGAAACTGGACTGTCTTGTTGTGCTGAATGGATTTTGATCTGTGTACAAGAGATGGGTGACTAACAGCTGAACCACAATGGAGTCAGCTTCACCCGTAAAGTCTCTTGCTCAGTCTTTATTTGTGATGCTAAGACTTGGTCCACCAAAAAACAAAGAGAAGAGAGTGAGTTGTTTTGGAAACTGGACTGTCTTGTTGCGCTGAACGGATCTTGAACTGTATACTAGATATAGGTGACTGATAGCTGAACCGCTATGGAGTCGGCTTCACCCATTAAGTCTCTTTCTCGGTCTTGACATGGGGTGCGAAGACTTGGTCCACCAAAAAACAAATAGGAGAGAATGAAAATTGTTTCAGAAACTGGTTTGTCTGAAGGGATCTTGAACTGTCTACAAGAGATGGTGGTCTAAAAACTGACCCACAAAGGAGTCAGTTTTACCCACCAAATCTCCTCCTGGGATGCAAAGACTTGGTCTACGATAAAAAGGTAAAAAGCTATTTCGGGCACTGAATTTTAATACTTAAGTGGACTGGTTAATATTTTTTCCATCCCATGGAGGCTAAGTGGGTCATGTTGCCTCAGTGAGGAATTTTCTTTATTGACGTAGCTAAGCCCCACTCACTAAGCCAAATAAAAAAAAAATGCATGTAAACGATAGGATTTTGTTTGCATTCAACAAAGTATCATGCAATTTGAAAGTTAACGTTAAGATTGAATAGTGAGATTTTATTTTCTTGTTTCTGTTCCTGGATTCAAATATCTACGTACTGGACAGTAATGAACACGGTCAACGTATCTGATTAAAATTAGTAGATGTTATTTTTTTTAACATTCTTTAGAGTTTCCAAAGTAATTAAGGCTTGCGCAAGCGTAATTTATCTCACCAAGGGGTTCAAAACCCTTCAACCACCTCCCGCTCTCGAGAACAGTTACCTCAATTTAATTCTAGTTCTTAGGGTAAACTATCTCATTCGCACATAATCTCGTAGGTGCTTAGTTTCGCGATTTTGTCGAGAAAATGTAAACTGTTCAAGGTAAATTCCATCGTCCTGGAACTGTTAATGTCCGCGGACAAGTATCTGTGCATATTGTCGCACCAAATATAGGCCATCGTTCATATATTTAGACAGTTGGCTATTTTGTATTGTAAACCAGCCTGTTTAACTGACCTACGCTTCTCTATCTGCTTTGCTTCGCTCTGCAACTCGTAAAAATAATCATAAATACCACAATTCAAACGTCTTATAAGATATATTTATTTGTTCATTAAGACTTGCCGATTTGATTTCTATGGTTTTGACAATTTTGTCTCTTTGATTGAGAAAGTGAAATTGTTGTTAAATGTTTTAAAGAGATTTAACCGTTTACATCAGCAAAAATGTTCAGCCTTGGTGAGCAAAATTGTCAGCACGTTTTATGAGATGGGTGTATATTTCTTCTTTCAGGTAACACGAAGATTACAAGTTTACTAAGAATTTCAGGGGAGACGAATGGTAAGTGTAATTACAGTTGAACGTATAGTTGTGTAATTTTGGTTGAAAGGTTCCCTTGATTTTCGCAAGAGCATTGCTGCGTGGATTAGTCGAGAGAAACGAATAAACCCATTTCTTTTATTTACCTAGTAAGAACTCTCTTTTATGGGTTCAGTTTTAAAACATGCGTATTAATGTCATAATTTTATAATGTTTCAATGTTGTTCATTCGAGGTTCTCTCTTCCTAGAGTTCATGAAGGATGACCACCTCACGAAACCAAGGATAAATATCAACACCCACCACGCCCATCTCTTGAAGGAATTCTTAAGTGGTTGTAAAAACTGTCTACCTCGCGGTAACATCTTGCTATACGCATGTGTCTTAAGACAGATGTTTGGTTACAAAAATGCATGCGTTTGAAATAAAAGTCACTACCACAAGTTAGACAACTTTTAAAAAGAATTTAAAAAATGGACCCCAGAGGTGGGTGTGGTGGGGGAGGCTGAATGGAGAAAAAAAAAACTGTATCAAATAATTGTAATATTACTGTATTATATGATTGTTAGAGAAAGATTGTAATATTACCATTGTAATACATATTAAAAGATTGTATGGTAATTATTTACTGTAGTGCTAGTATATTAAAAGATTTTTGTACCCCTTATGAAAACTGACCAAATGTGGCGGGTATGGGGAGAGGTGGTGGACGGGTAGATAAGTGTTATAAACTTTCTAATAGAGGGGGGTGTGGCGGATGGTGGACGGATCGACCCCCAATTTTTCATTTTATTCCCTGAATTGGGAGTCGATCCAATTTTGATTTCTTTCCAAGATTTATATTTGTCGCTGGTATAATTCTTAGGGTGATCGTGTTCCTTGGTATCAGCTTTGGGTGGTCGAAGAAACCTGCAAAACAGGGAAATGAAATTAAGACCAAGAATTTGAGCCAAAGAACGTTACCCGCCTTCATACTTTGTCGGACTTTTACCCAAAGGATGACAAACGAACTTTTCCCGCCGAAAAACAAAACTCCACAAGCTTCTGTTCAACTAGGCACTCAAAGACTTGGAAAAATGTCCAATTCAGAAATACAATGAATCCGCACGTGTCCTGAATAAACCTTCATCACAAGGGCGACACAAATTTTTCCTGTTAAAAGACAATGAAAAACCTCTACGAACGTTACACAAGTTTTCACTCAAATGAACAACAAAGCTACACTCACCAGAATAAAAAATAATCTCGTCTCTCTTGATCTTCTTCACTTGTGATCTTTCAGGCAGCTGGAAGTAGAAACGTAAGCGATAATTATATACATAAAAATTGGCAGTCGTAATAATTTACTGGTCAGACCATTTATGGAACATCGTAACAGAAATACACAAGTTTCTGTTCAACTATACCACAAAAAATACATCCATTAAATCTAAACTTTTAACCATAACTTTCCGGCATCTTACAGATCAGAAAACGAAAGGATAACATTTTTTGACCTCTAATTTCGGTTAAATAATTTGTTTGCACTTGAGCAACACAAAGCAATGAAGATGAAATTTCAGGACCACCGCTTACAAACTTAAACTTATCAATTAAATTTAAAATAAAGAAATATCTTGGCAGTTCTAATAGTTTATTTGTCACGTCATTTCTCTTTTTTGCGTAATCTGAAATATTTGAAATACAACTAAAGAATCGACAAATTTAGAGATAAAATTAAAACAATTTTCCGACGAAATCTAAAAGATTGACTTTGGCACATTTCGTTTTAACTCGACCGAACGACCAAGTAGCTACCTACCGTTTTCAGGGGGTATAAACTATATATTTTTTTGTACGACAGATCGTCTCTTACCCTTGAAAAAGGAGATAAAAATTCTAATCTTTCCCAAAGCAACTCATCCACCAAAAGCAAATTTTCAGAGGTGAAAGACAGCCGAAATCTTGCGTCAAATCATATCCCCCGTCAATCTTTGTTCTACAATCATAAACACATCATGTCACTAAATAAGAACACTGTACGAAACCAGTTTCACTTAACTGTACAAATGTAAAAACCTCAATTCTAATGCTGTCGAAGCTATCAGAGTAAATTTTAAGTTTTCCAAGATAAAGTGAAAATACTTTTGGCGGGTGTTTTATTTTTCTCTAGCAATCTGAAGTAAACTACATAACCCAAATATATTTAATCACCTGAGGAACACGAGTCCTGAACGCGTTAGTTTGGAATGTTAGCAGATTTCTCCCTTTCCACGCTGATACTTTCTTGGACCTTTTATTTTCTTCTTTCCTTCTCTTACAGTCTGAAGGAAACTTTAAAACACACAGAAAAAAATTGCATGTATTTTTTCCATCATATGTAACTGGCAATAAATCAATAAAATATCAGTCACTGCCAAACCTGTTTAAGTGTTCTGTTTAAGATTAATTAACAACACAGTAAATATAAAAAAAAACACACACAAAAAAAAACTAGAAGAGCTAAAGAAATAACAACGATTTCTGTTCTCGACGTTCAACAATAACACATCAATTATACTTACCATTCTCTTCCCCCTTGACTGTCATTTTAAAATTGAGATTTCTGCGTTACCGTCTGAAAGAAAGAACAATAATAATAACAATAATTTTACACCAGCGGCAATCAGAATAAAACAAATTAACTTCTACTATAACTGTACATCGTTTGCCTGCACCATAAAATAGAAATCTATGTAAACCAAGATAGCGATGGCAACCACAACGTGATGAAACAAAAGAATTGAATCAACACGCTTATAGGTCTTCTTCTTAGAAGTCGATGACACCTTCACATCAAAGCTGAATGGGATGTCGGATGTCATTCAAGACGATAAGAACTACGAGCCACTCCCCAAATTGTCAAGAGAAATGTAAAATTATTTGTAAACAATCTGTTCACAATCAGGAAAACTGGGAAAGCGGAAATCTGTATATGGCAAATGTAGACAATGGTCCTACCCCGTTCGTAAGGTTGAAGTAAACTGTAACCACAAACATTTATCTTGGAAATAGGGAACGGAAAGATGACAACTCTTAATCTGTATTAGACAGAATTTAACTCAAATCCCAATCAGAGTAAACAAAACCATACCCAGCCCTCCTTCCTTTCTTTAGATACCTGCTTTAGACGAGAAAGTGATCTTGAGTCTATTTCCTTCCCCTTCACTTCCTTCCAAAATCTAGAAAATCGCAGATAAAAGGACGTCAAAACTTTTAAACTCACAACTCTTATCTACAGAAAATACATGGAATGATAAAACACCAAAGAAAAGAGCTAACACAGATGGGATTACATTACATGCAACAACATGGAAACTACCAGAAAACAGACAAACAAACAAACAAACAACAAAACAAACGACCAAAAGCAGTTAGGAAAAAATTAACGCGTAACATGAATATGTTTAATCACATTTCCAAACTCCTTTTTAACTCGTGAAAACAGTCTTAGGAGATGTGATGGTATTGTGAATAGCACTTTTAAACAGTCATAATTAAATAAATGACACCAAAATAAATGTCTCTTGAAATATCACCGGTTCTGCTTTGATCAGAAAGAAAAGGAAACAAATGGTCAAGAAAAAGTCAAATTTCATTAAGGGAATTGTAGCTTAGCAACATTGACTATCAAATCTTAGCATGAGAATCACTATTTCTCTTAGTAGGGCGAGGAAGTATTGTGAGTCGCAAGGCTTAAATTCACTGTACGTAGGAATGGAAATGAAATAGTGGCACTGATTCCCAAACTACTGCTCTGAACTTATTTCATATCAGTCTGTTAGTCAATTGACCAAGCAGAAAGTCCATCATTTTCCTCAGAAAACCCATTTAAACAATTAAGCACAGCTGATTTGCTGATTGTTTCAATAAACCTTGGAATTTCCAAATGAATGTGTCTATTCATTCAAAAACCATCACATGTTTCCTGAGAGGGACAAGCTTCAGCCCATCATCAGGTCTTTTAAGTTTGGGGTTTCAGCATTTAAAAGTCATAATTAGCTTAAAGTTGAGTAAATAAACTTATTGTTCCCTTCCTACCAGAGAACCCTTTTATCTATATTTTCTTTGATTGATCCTTGTAATAGATCCTCAATGTGTAAAATAAACCATGATTCTATTAATCCACAGTTCATATGTATGATATTCATTTACTCACAATCATTCAAAAAGAAATCTTGTGATAGAAACAATAGTCTGGTGGTCTGGAGCCCAGAACTCTGGCTCAATTGTTCTATAATGATATTATCCAAGAAAATACATTTTACTTACACATTACACTCAGGATGAATAAAAAGAGTACTGCGAAAATGTCAAGGAAAGCTCTGACAAAGTGCTAAGGCAACCCGGCTGTGCTCTGGCAGAATGGGCAATCTGACTTATAAGCTGACTTAGCTCTTTGTTACCTACTTGTAATGTTGCACCACCTTATAAGGATACTTTTTCTACATGAAAGGTTGTTCATACAGCTGAAGTTGCACCTCTGTTATTTTTAAGTAAACATTCTTTTAAGACAACTTTAAAACTTTGCAAGTGGTTATTTAAAATATATTTCTACCCGAATATTGAAGAAGTCTCTGACATAGGAGCCTGGAAAACAAGTGAGATATATCACCAACCCATGAACACAACCCTGTATCCAAATGCTGACATGAGCTGTTCTCTTCCTTGTATAGATATATTTCAGTTAACATCTAAATGTGACAATTTTGAAAAACAAATGTTTCAATCAAAGATTAAATCCACATCAACTCAGCTCAAGGTAATTCTACAAGTTCTCCAACCAGTGTACCTGCAAATGTCAATTCAAGTAGCTTTCACAACTTGGTTCAGGCAATCTGTCACTGGTTAATAGTTTTTACATTTCAATCAAGAACTCTCATTAGAAACTCACCCCAGACAATGAGCCAGAATCACAAAGGAACTATGTAATATGCAATATGTGCATAGATACATGCATCTCCATGAGCCAGATGAGAAAGTTTCAAATGTGTCCAGAGAAAGCTGAATTTGAAAATGATCTCCATTCCTGTTCTTAAAAAAAAGATGGATAACAGTAAATAAATATGAATAGAAATGATAAATTGGCAAAAAAAAAAAAAAGGCTTAGGGTGAAACCTCATAATATTAACTCTTCAAGGAATGATGAATGACATAGCAAATGTTTTTGAAGGATGAAAACCAACTCTCTCACACTCTTCAAAGATGTCTGTAGGTCAGAATTCAATCAATTGTGTGTGTGTGTGTGAAAATGGAAAATTCTCTAGGTAATTGGACTGTGTCACACTCTGTTATTCAACCCAAAGATTTAAGATATCCACTCCCAAGAAATATGTGATACTCTAAATTTTACTCGCCAACCCCACAGTGATGAAGCTGGTTACCATGACAACATTGTTACCTTCACAAATGTCATGTGCAATGAAGAGGTAAATTCACCCTGCACAAAAGTGGATTCATGTTTTTAAAAGAGGGAAATTCTTGTATTTCATCAATTGTCACCATCCATTCAGGATAAAGAAGGTATGGTACAATAATTGAGCCATGACATCTTGTCACTTAAATAGTTACATAGACCCCAGCTTAAAATTTATTGAACAAATAGATTCAAAGTTGCCGTGCATCTGTTCAGTAATAGGTCACAGAGGACGTCAAAATGTGGTAAGAACAAAAAAGTGGCACATGAGGCGCAGCCGAGTGTGTCACTGATGTTCTTGTTCTCAGATGCACGGCAACTTGGAATCTATTTGTTCAATAAATTTTAAGCTGGGGTCTATGTAACTATTTATGTGACAAGATGTCATGGCTCAATTATTGTACCATCTATACGGAATTATTGTACCATATATTCTATACGTCTGTCCTCCAATAGATCATAAGTGAGAACTAATCAAAACGCGTGCATAACTGGGCTTATTATATAAACCACAGTATATAAAAAAATGCAAGAAAAATTGATACACAGATCCACTTAACCAATGTTTGTTTTTGCTGAGAAATGAAATCTAAAATTTTGAAAAAAAACAAAAAAACAAAAACAGCCCCATATGTTATGCTGCTAGTGAGAAAAACATAAGTAAATAAAACCAATGTCAGACTGTCAATAACAAGACTTCCACTGAAATAAAATTTGCATGATGTACTGAATACATTTTGATGAATTGTTCCTTGCTGCTGGTAGAAAACATTTTTGGTGAAATAAATTTTAAATCATGATTTCCATTTGGAGAAGGATCTATTCAAACCAGGTTGAGTGTAGTTGGTTCTGATAAAATATATATTTGTCAATTGCAGAAGTTAATCTTTAACTAGGTCCATTAAATGGAATGTTTTTCATTTGATGATATTAAGAATAGCTTTTCAAAATTAAATTCACCAATAAAGCCAGTCTTAAAAATGACTTGAATGTGTGTAAAACTACCAATTATGGACTGATGGTAAACTTTAGTTTACATGTTTCACTATAATAAATATAGTAGCATTTATCATCCAACTGCACAAAGTAGAGTACAAATAACATGGAAATAGAGTACAAATATCATGAGATGTTGTATGGTTATTAGGACAGTTGGTTATTTTGTACTTTAAAAACCCCTTTGACAGGTTGGCTACACTTGCCTTCTCTAGTGCGGTATTTAACAACTTTACCATTGTTCGTGGTTCATAGCCTTCAGCTCCTCATTCCTAATGTGAAACTGGGAAGAATAAATGACATCTTCTGTTGTCTTAAATTTGCGCATATTATTATTATTATTATCTAAAACTTAAATATCTCAAAAACTGACCAAGATATTTTGAAATGGGAAACATTGAATTCAAGCTTTTATGGAAGTCTCTATGAGCACCGTAAAATTTCAAAGAATGAAAATTTTATCATAATGGCACTTTTTAAAAGCCCATTGAGAACTCAGACTGCAGCTCAGTGTGCAATTGTTAGGTAATGATCGACCGTTATGTTATAAACTTGAATCATATTGTTGCTAGATATCACCTCTTACCTAAACAAGGCTTTAGATAAGAATGTCTAGAATATCTTAACCAGATGTCGGTCTTATCAACTCGGTCAAATAACTCTAAAAGTAGGCAGTAACTAGCGAGAGCAACATGGCGCCTTAGGAGAAACTGAAGCTTACCTCGTCGCTGAGTGCGCAGCATGTGGGCTGTGCGTATGAGCTATAATAGCCATTCCTCCATTTCTATATTTCGCAGGCAGCTATCGAAGATATTTTCCTGCGGTTCTGCTGTATTCTTCCAGTCTTTCGTCGCCATGCTGAATTCATTAAGTTGTTTTCAGTCTCTCTCTTTCATCACCAAAGGGGGACGAGATGGACAAGGCGAAGACTGTGGATAATATTCATTTTCATGTGACGTCACCAGCAACTCAAATCTACTTGCGAGTCTATTTTCGTCAGCCGTGAGCGGTGTTTGATTGCTGCCTAAAACGTTGCGACAAGGTTGGTTTGTCAACACAAATTTTCAGTAACCTAGAAAACCGAGTACCGTCATGATTCGATTTATCGCCTGGGGCGCTTAATTTTTTATGGTATCTCCTGGAGCCTATTACTTGGGCTCCTGGTACCTCTAGAAGGGTGCTTATTCGAAACAGGGCGCTTATTAAGGACAGGGCGCTTATTTTTGAGAAACAGCAGAATGTGCAAAAAAAAAGCTCTGATGTCTATCTAAAAAGGAACAATAACAAATGTACAGTTTATATTCAAATATCAATGATAGGACTGTACTCTTTCGTTGCTATTACTAAAACAGAATAGGGGCGCTTATCGCATTGGGAGTGCTTACGTAACAGGGGCACTTATTGAAACGAGGGCGCCAAATTGAGTCGTTACGGTAACTTCTGCATTGCACATGAGACACTTTTTTCACTGGGCTCCACAAATTTTCATTACGTGAGGAGAATTTCGAAAAGGATTAGATAATCAGAGGAAACAGAAAAACGTTATCTCGGAAAAAATATTCTCCGTTCTTCCTCTCCTGAATTATTGCAATTATAATGGCCGCCTGATCTCAGCTTCGTCTTTTTATCCTTCTTGCTGCTACTTGAATTCCAGCCAGCTATTGGAAAAAAAGAATTTTGAAATCTAAAAGTTCTACAAGGAAATTGGTAAAATTTTTCCTTAATCCAAAATGAAAATACGGTGTTATCTCGCAGAGCTGGTTACCAACTTTGCGGCTTGATTTGGAACACTGCATGTCCAATTAAGTAGAATCGCAATCATGACGTTGTTCTTTCATCATTCCTGTCTTTATTTTTTTAACACAAAACGAGATTATACGAGAGTAAGTTGTATTTGAGTTTTCAGTATTACCCTACTTACGCATATGGCAATCTTACAACGTGAAAACCTTCAGAAACTTGGAATGTCCATTTTCGAGTAAAGACAAAGAGATGATTAAAATTCTCGTAAAGCTCCCAAATGTTAGTCCTCAAAAGAGGAAAGACTGCCAGAACTCTCAGGAGTACAGGTTGAATAACTGCTCAAAGGCAATGTTCACTCCTCATGTACCTTTTCTCTAGAAAGATGTTTCAATGGCTTCTCATCAAGATGATGTACGTTTAAACAAAAACATATTCCAAATCGGATACTTCTTGATTGGAAGGAAGGTGAAGGGCACCACTTGGTCGAATAATTAAGAAATACAACGAGGTATCTCTAAGGAGCCCTCGATTTTTTTCACTGAGTGAAATAAAAAATACTATTCTCGCCCGAAAAAGCGCATGTTTTCGTTACCGATGGATCCAGTAGCTAATTTTGACATTAGATAATTGAATTAAATCAATCAGATCGAAAACAATCGAAATGACTCACAACAGTGTTAGGTTTGCTCCTAAACTCGAATATTTTCGTGTTCAACGATGCTTAGTATTTACTCTTAACAAAATGTTTTGAAATGTAAAAGCTAAAGTGTTAAAGGTAAAAGTCGATTGGAGGAACTTAAGTATGTCGCGAGGTGTTTACGATCTCACTTTGCGTGTCAAAGGTGAAGATCGATTTTTGGAAGTACTGAAGTAAATCCCGAGGTATTTTTGGTCTCACTCTTTATAGGCCAGTCACCACAAAATGAACCCTACTGATTCATCATTTAGGAAGACATACATCACCAGAAATAGTTGTTTAAGCATACAAAAGTGACTTCGAGAGAACACGATAAAATCTTAAGCCATTTCGGTATACCGTCAGTCTTCGCGCTTCGGGACGATTTACGAACTTACGAACTTCCATGCAAGGATGATAACGTAGCGTGTTATAGGCTAGAGGCTAGAACCCATAAGGCACAAAATTGTACCATTTTAGTATAATTGTTCAGGTGATTATAGAAATGCGCGCTCTCTGATGGGTCGAGAATTGCGTCATATCTCGCTATAATCACCTCGTGCGAGGTGAGTATAGCAGGGGCGCTAAATTTTAAAATGGCTGCCTCGCGTTTTGTCAACCTTTCCGACGAAGTGCGACTCCTTGCTTATCTTGATTCAAGTAATCACTACAATTGTAACAAAATATGTGCAATGCTCTCTTTAGTTGCAGAATTTGCAACAGAATTCTAAAGGACCTGAGCAGTTATACTAAAAAAATATTTTCGTCAGGCTCATTGTAGAATAGTCCCCTCGACTTCGACTTCGTCTCAGGTATTATTCAACAATCAAGCCTGAGGCGGATAATTGTTAAATAGAGGAAGGGCCACTGCGGCCTCTTGTTTGTTCATACGCCAAGGTTACAGAGTAGATGTTAATTTTATTTTTATGCAGTAAATTTCAACAGTTTTACACTTATTACCAATTTCTTCTGTGTGTGTGTGTGTGATTATATCACTTGTTCTAAGCCAATAGACATGCTGAAATTTCTGCACGAAAACTGTTTTCCGCTGAATATGGTGAGTTATGGCAAAATAATGACAGCTAATGGCCTTGTTCAACTCAAAACCTAGTCAGCGACCCCCATACTTTTATCTCATAATTTCACAAGTTTTAGTTCAAAATCTGAAGTTTTTAGTTTTAGAGGCAAATACAACACAGTAAATACCAACAGTATCAATATTGTTATAACCATACACGACAACAGAAATACAGAAGAGGATAACATTGCAAAAACACATTGAGCGTTCTCAGGACCGGAAGGAAGAGAGACTGGGAACGAGTTTAAGCAATAGTCACCGGGTGAACAACTTTATTAGGCTCCCAGACCCGGTTTCCCGCCACTAATAGCCCACTATTAGTGGCTGGAAATGAGCCCACCCGTTCCTTATCGGGGGTATAGAAGACTGCATTCGCGACAAAAGCGTTGGAAATCGAACTTGCTAGTCTCCTTCTCAGACGTTATTTGGATAGTCACGCAACGCTCCTCTGGGAAAACGTTTTCTCGGGGACGTCGCGTAAAATCTTATCTAGTTTGTGTTGAAATACATTAAGATACATTTATGTGACACACAATCGCCGGCTACACAGGCTACGAGATTTTCATCGAGTTTTTAAACTGAATGAAATTAAAATTAACAACCATAGTACAGAATATTGTCGAAAATTTAAGTAATTTTGGCCCGCCGGCTACTTTGCTTGTTGGGTAACAATTTGACTCCCTCCATCATAATTTACCTCCACATCGGCGGGTTATTTTATTTGAATTAAACATCGCGCTAAATCTCAATCGTCGATCTCTAAACAAAATATTTGAAACGGCCCAGTGTGAATCCCCAGAGTTGCCATTTACTAGTTGTCACAAAACCCCGAATATATCCACCCAAATTAACTGTTGTTTGCTCTTTCGCGTGACGACACGTAATCGACTGTGTAATCGTAAACAAAGCGGAAGTTAAAAAAGTATTTAATCCGCTGTAATGAGATTTCGCAGGCTCCATCAGCTGGAAAGCCTGCAAGATTTTGCCACGTCTAGGTCAACGTGTTTCGTCTAGTTTAAAAGTTACTGCAGGGATTGTTTGGACTATTTCCCATTCATAGTTCACAACTACCAGTAGCACAATCTACCTGTACAATTTTCTTGAGTTAAACATGGAAGGAATCCTTTATTTTTTGGTGTGTGCACTCCTTGTAAACAGCTGTATTTGTGCAGCCACTACCGGCAGAGATAATCGGCCGAAACCACATGAAGATATCTCCTTATCAGAAAAAGAGCATGAAGAAGATGGTGAGCATAACTCAGAGTACGACCACGAGGCCTTCCTAGGAGGCATGAAAGATGAATATGACGATCTGCCCCCAGAAGAAGCCATAAAACGGCTAAGAGTTTTGGTCAAGAAAGTGGATTCTGATAAGGACGGGTTTGTCACAGAAGAAGAGCTGACAAAGTGGGTGAGAGATGTGTTCAACAAACGTCTGCTGGAGGGAGTGCAGGAAGATTTGAGTTCAAAAGACATGGACACGGATGGCAAACTAACTTGGGATGAGTACGTAAAGGCGACTTACGGCCCGGAGGAAATGGGAGATGATGCCGATGAAGAATCAAAGAAGTTGTTGAAAACGGACAAAAGACGATTCGATACAGCTGATAAAGACAAGGACGGAGCCCTCGTCAAGGAAGAGTTTGTTCACTTTATGCATCCAGAGTCATCTCCAGAGATGGCCGATATTCACGTTCTGGAAACTATCGAAGGTTTGTAGTTAGTTACTAAAAATTTTACCAAAATATTTTCATTGCATTTCAAGGTCTTAGAAGATTTGACTCGTGTGCCCTCAGAGAAAATACACGTTCATATCAAAACACATCAGGCCCCGCATTGCGATGATAATTGATTTCGGAATATTGATCATTCTAATTACAATCATGAGCCGAAACAGTTTTTCTTCATTTTCAAAGTGTAACACAACCATAATATTTCTCTGTTAAGCTGTGAAACAGTGATCCATGAACATTGTTTCTGTTTTCTATCGTTGCCAAGAATTTGAGAGGAAAATTTATTAACTTTTTAGACTTAGTCTTTCTTATGTAAATCAGAGATATTGGGTTTACAAATCATTTTCCTTTTCAATAAAATATCCACACTTTTTCTACATACAAATTGAGAGTAATTATTATTGGAATTCACACGTAAAAAATTAATGAGTTATGTTTCCATGGAGTACTGAGGATTAAAAAGATATGCCCTTAAAACGTATACTAATAACAGTCAAATAGTATCAAGGTTAGTCACAATGGTTCTCAAAAAATACAGCTTTTGTATAGCTCACCTATAATCATCAAAACCTGTCTAACATTATAAATATCTCGGCATGCAAAAAGGCAATAATAACCTCTAAACAAGTTCTCTTTTTCTTCCCATTAATCTGTAGCATCTTTGGGCACCCTGGATTTTCCACACTTTTATTGGTGGATGTTTTGGTTCTCTAATGTTTCTTAATGATGACCCATTTATTCAGCTGTGTTTCCTCTGCTTTGATCTGCATTTTTCATAACAACCAGTCGTTACAGGTGCTACTTAAACATTTTTTGTCATCCCCTTCAATTTAAAGAATTGTGTCAAAATGTCTTGAAAGAAAATATTTCCAATATAAACATTAAGCCCTGTAAGAAAAAGAAGAGAGAATTTTCAAACACTTTTTGAGGTCATCTCTTTACCTGATATTCTTCACAGTCATTTGTACTCTCTCATTTATGGTCTCTACCTACTGGCTTCAAATGAGACATTTCTGCCATGTTTTTCTATTTGGCTTCAAATCAGTGACAGTGTGAAACCTGTTCTGCCAAAGTTTTAATTTGCATGACAGAGAGCATCCAGTCGAAATTTGTTTTAATTCATATGAACATGAACATCTTTGAAATGTAGGCATTATAAGCAACTGAAAAAATGCCTGTTAAAACAATGACTGACAGAATATTCATAACATTCATTATCAATTTGAGTATCTTTTGGTCCTGCTCAATTAAATTCTTTAACCTGCCTGGCACTTGTTAAGAAGTCTATACTTGAGAAACAAAATGAATATTTCTGACATCTATCTCACTCCTTAGGAAATGTTTCTTCCTTTTTAAACCTTTTTAATTGATGAATTTTGTGGGACTTTTTAAGTTCAGAGGTTGGTCTAAGATCTAAAGTGTATTTTTGTTTTGATTCTCAATTTTGCATTTAAATTAATTTATGACTAAGGGAATAAAAATTGTTCTTGTTTTAGATACTGATAATGACAAGGATGGCTTTATCAGCAAGAAGGAATTTTTGGGAGATTTCCAGGATCCTAATGACGAGGAAGCAGAGGAACCTGAATGGGTGAAGGAAGAAACCCAACGGTTCAATGAGGAATATGACAAAAATCATGATGGCAAACTTGATAAAGAAGAGGTAAACTTATAATCCTGACTTCATGAAAGGCAGTTGTCATTTGCAAATCTAGTGAAGAGCCTGACTCACCAAAAAATGAGTTGTGGCTCACTTAGTAGAGCATCCAGTTATAAAATCGAACCTGGTTTCTGAATCTTAAGGGACAAATCAGATTTTTGTGTTTGTTTGTTTGGACAGATACAAAGGTTGTAACAGCATTTAATTCAGTTAGTCTGTGTCTCTTTCATGGCAGTTTCCAAACAAGCAGTTCAACTGACTGAGTGTATATGATGTCCCCCAAAAGAAACAAAGCCAGTTATACCATGAAGCAAATTCATCAGTTCACAGATATCTGACTATTTTGATTTCTGACTCTCATGTATTTCCCCAAGATCTTTCACTGCATGGTAAACTATATATTGGACCAAAATGACTTTGAATTTAAGGATTGCAAATTAATTGTGATACAAACATTGCTGACTGTGAGTCTGATGATAAAAAATTGCAAAAAAAAAAAAAAGGTCAAAAACCATCTAGGTTTGAGGCTGTTGGTAAAATTGTGCACTATGACCATTTGAAAGTTGACAAAAATTACAGACAAGTGTTGAAGTTTAAGTCCTTCTGTTCAGTCAGTGAAAAGTTAAAAACATTTTTTTCATCTTTTGGGGCTT